CTTGGAGGGAACAAGCATGTACCTTTTGCTGAAGAATTTTCTGTTCAACTTGGAAATTCTGGGCATCTGCATCCACAAGCAAAGTCCAGCAGGGAGAAGTGTGTGCTCTTGAGCTTGCAGCTGACACCCATTTGAACTAGCCACAGATGTCTGGGAATGAGCTGACTAGAACGCAGGCAGATGACGAAAAGGTAATCCATACTCTGAGTTAGGATCAATTGTTGCAACCTGATGACTTCCTCAGGACACAGTTCTTTGATTAGGACAATCTTTTGTAAGGTGTGCTTGCAAGAAAGCCACTCTCTGACCCTTAGCTTTACAACCTTGGTCTTTGCCCTCCTGGGGCAAGTATTAGAAAGCTTTCTTAGTTTTCCCAATTATATGTCAGCTCCCTACCCCCACCAACTCAGACAGTGAGCCTAGACCCAAAGACACTTGACTCTAGGTCCCTGGACTGGTAAGTCTACCTTGTGTTGAAAGCGTTCAAAGGCATTATAGCAAGTACTCAATTCTCTCATTTCTTGGTCCAGGGACTCACAGCTCCGTTTCAAATGAGTCTCTGGTTTTCTGCCACCTCTGCTGCAGCCATCACTATGATTGGGGCTGCCGTCTGGACTGCACTCTCTGATTCATGCAGAAATCTCAGATCCAAAGGATGAACTGCAATCCCTGCCTATTCAATATTTGGTAGTGAGATTCCCATATTTTGTTCAAGATAAACTTCAAGGGATATAGCAAAACTGACAAATTCTCCCACCTAGTGCCCCTATATACATTATTTGCATAGTCCTTACCAGCCTACCTGTAAATGATACAAAGATAATGACTAGAAAATTATTTGAATAATCCATCACAGCACAATATTTTAATAGTTTGTTAATTGTTCATTTCCACCCACTGAAACATGGGCAGAAGTTTTCATTTTACTTACTGTTGCAATCTCAGAACCAAAAGTCATGCCTGGCCCAAAGAAGGTGCTCAATAAATATTTGTTAAGTGATCAGAATACCAATTCAAGTTATTAATGTTTCTAGAGAAAAGTACAGAAGTGACATCCATCATTCTTGCTTCAACTTGTTGGTCACAGCCTTTGAGAGAGGACAGCTGAATGGAAAGGCCTGTCATTTGGCCACAAGAGGGTGGTATTTATCCATTTTTCATTTGCAATGGGACATTCTAAGACAAGGCACCCTGGTGATGCAGTAGTTAAAACAGCTCAACGGCTGCTAACCATACATCAGTAACCACAGGCGATACATGTGAAAATCTAGAGATTTTTAGTCTTGAAAACTCTTTAAGGTAGTTCTGCTCGATCTAATAGGGTCAATATGAGCTAGAATTAATTTGATGACAATGGATTTGGTTTTTGAGGAGTTTTGTTCTGAGATCTTTTTCTCTTTTTGACCTTTTTCCTAGAAAGAAAACATAGGCAGGGCTATATCTAGGGCCAAGGCAAGTATAAAATGTGTTTATTCTACCTTGCTTTGCTTTCCATTCTAAATTTATTAGCAGCAATGTCAAGAATAGTCCTGAAAACAAAAAGCAAGTGGTTGAGGAATATATACTACCATGCCACTCAGATTCAGCAGTCAGAGATGTCATTGGCTGACCAAATGATCTAAGGTCTTGTGCCACCCTTTCCTTTACTCCCCTTTCCTCTGTGCTCCTAGTGTCCAAATGATATAGTAACAGAAATGTGAGAGCTCATAATTCAACTTGTTATAATTTCTCACCCTCTAGAGATTCTGAAAACAACAAATGGACTATCCAAGAGATTATTCCCTCTGTTACTAAGTATTGTATAAAGATACTGGAAGACACTCAAAGTGTGACTGGGAAAGATCTACCTCCCTAAAGCAGAGTTGGCCTTAATGGAATGAATGTTTGGCAGATGGAATGAAGCTTTCACCTGATAAAGGACTTTCATTTGCTAATGAGGAAAAACACAAAATGAGGAGAAACATCCATTCATAGTTGGAAAGTGGAATACTTGAAATATAAATCTAGGCAAATGGAAAGTTATAAAAAAATGAAATGGAACACAAAGATAAAACCCCATAGAATTAATAAACTATAATGGACTTGCATTAATCATTTTGATATAGACAATTATATGATTTGTTATGCCAGAAAGTAAATTGAAGAGAAATGGTGTTTAATTCATCATCCAAAAGAATATTCATTCTCTGTCCTGAAATACAGTGCTGTCAATGACAGAATAATATCTATATTCATACAAAGAAGGCCTGCTAATAAAATTATTATTCAAATATAAGCACTAAACACTAAAGCCAATGATGAAGAAATTGAGGATTTCTACCAACTTTACTGTACCAGAAAGAATTGAATGACACTGAAAAATTTCAGAAAGTACCATATGAACAGGAACCAGTGGTAATGGAGGAGGAAGAAGAATCTGCACTGAAGGCATTGGCAAAAAAGTAAGGCCTCCAGAATTGATGGGAAATCAATTGGCTTATTTCAATTAACAGATGCAGCCTTGGATGTGCTTACCAGTCTATGCCAGGAAATTTGGAGGACAATTGTCTGGCCAACAGATTGGAAGAGGTCCATATTTGTTCCCATTCCCAAGAAAGGTGATCCAGCTGAATGTGGAAACTGTCAAACAATAATATATCATATGTAAGAAAAAATACTGGCGAGGATCATTTAAAAATGGCTAGAATAGTATGTAGATAGGAACTGTCAGATGTTCAAGCAGGAATTAGAAGAGGCCCTAGGGCCAGGGATATCACTGATGATGTCAGATGGATCCTGGCTGAAGGTAAAGAACACCAGAAGAATGTCTATGCTTTATTATTCAAAGGCATTTGACTGTGCAGATCATAACAAGTTGTGGCTGACCTTGAGAAGAATGGGAATCTCAGAGCACTTCATTTTGCTCATGCAGAACCTATACCTGGACCAGGAGACTATTATGCAAACAGAGCAGGGGGACACTGCAGGTTTAAAATTGAGAAAGAAGTGTGTCAGGATTGCATTCTCTCTCCATATTTATTAAATCTATATGCTGAGTGAATTATCCAAGAATCTGGACTCTATGAAGAGGAACGTGACATCAGGGTTGATGAGAGAGACTCATGCAATGGGTTCTTGTGTGTCAGGAAGTATGAGGATGGCATAGGATAAAACTGTATTATGCAGATGACACAACTTTGCTTGCTGAAAGTACGGAGGACTTGAAACACTTCTTGCAGAAGATCAAGGAATGCAACCTTCAGTGTGGATTGCATCTCAACATCAAGAAAACAAAAATTCTTTCGTCTGGACCAATAGGCAGTATATGATGAATGGAGAGGAGATTGTAACTGACAGCAACTTCACCTTACTTGGATCCATGATTAACACCCTTGATACCAGCAGCCAGGAAATAAGGAGACACATTGCACTAAGGACCTCTCCAAATTATTGAGGAGTAATGATGCCAGTTTGAGGAAAAAGCTACATCTGATTCAGTCCATGGTCTTTTCAATTATTTGCTGTGCATCTGAGAGCTGGTCAGTGAATAAGGATGGCAGGAAAAGAATTGATGCCTTTGAGGTATGGTGTTGGAGAAGAGAACTGAACATCCCATGGATAACAAAGAGAACAGATTTATCTTGGAGAGGGGGCAGCCAGAATGTTCTTTGGAAGCAAGAATGATGAGACGTCACCTCACATACTTTTGGCATGTTGCTAGGAGGAGCTATTCCTTGGAGAAGGTCATGATGCAGGGAAGGGTGGAGCATTGGTTAAGGACAGGAGGACTGAAGCGGTGACTGCTGCAATGGGCTCTTGTGTGTCAGGAAGTATGAGGATGGCACAGGATAGAACTGGGTTTAGATCTTTTGTTCATAGGGTCGCTATGAGTTGTACTTGACATGACGGCGCCTAACAACAACAACAACAACAACAACCAACTTCTGCAGTCTGAAATGGAATAAATCAAGACACATTAATAATAATTAATTATTGGATGTGAAAGTTGAAAACAAAGGAATAAATCTGATAATTGGAAAATATGACCTTTGTGAAATGGGATCAGAGATCCCATGATAGAAATCTGTAGAAGCAATGATTTATTCCTTGCAAGTCATTTTTTTAAAAACCATATACAAAAATATATAATATCTTTATATACAGGCGACTCGATGGCACACAACAACAAAATATAGTGAAGCTCACCTGTTAGGATACACAAGAATCAAAGTAAATAAATCTGTGGAAAGAGGTAATGGGAAAAGGTAACTAGCGGTTTTCACAAATTAAAATATATTTTTCTTTCTTTTATTACAGATGTTCCCTTGGAATATTATGGATTGAATTGTATTGTCCTCAAAAGATATTGATGTCCTGACCACTGTTACCTATGAATGTTATAATGCTTGGAGAGATGACATCAGATATTGTCTAGGAAAATGATACCAGATAATATGTGGTTATACTGGAGTAGGGTGGAGCCTAATCCTGTATGACTGCTGTTCTTAAACAAAAGAAGATGCACAGAGAAATAAAAAGTGATCATTTGAAGATGCATCTACAAATGAAGGAATGCCTGGAGCTAACAGAAGCCAGGAAAGATGAGAAAGAAACTTCCATGGTGTTTGTGGCAAGAATATAACCATGCCAAAATACTGATTTTAGCTTTTAACCTCTGGAACAGAGCAATAATGAAATCCTGTTGTTTAAAGGCACCCACTTTGTAGAATTTTGGTATGAAAGCCCTTGGAATTTAATATGTTATATCACAGCTTTTCTCAACAACACAACCAAAAACAGTGAAGAGTTTCCTTATTTGAATTGTGTCACAGGAATCACAAACCAAAACAAAGTATTCTAGGAAAACTTTTGGTTTTAATTCAAAGGGAAACATGCCAAAGAGAAAGAAAAGGGGGGAAATGAAATCATACTATCAGTTGATTTGAAGGGTTTACATTCTTCCTGGTCCATCCCGTATGTGTGGCCCAAGGCATGCACATTCTATTACTACATAGGCCAGACTAATGTGGCAGAATTTCCTCCACTTCCAGAGTAAGGAATGGGAAAAGGAAGTCTCTGAGCCTGTTCAAGGTGCTTCTGCTCATAACGGTGGGTAAAATGTCCACGAGAAGATCTGGGTTTATATAATGTAGATGGAAAAACACACAGCTGAGCAGTTTAATGAAGATCAGGACCACGAACACTATACATTGAAATTGCCTGCAAAAAGACATTGATTAGAAGGATGGAGAAAAAGTTCAGTAATCTTATATTCACAAATGTCTCAAGTGAATGCTTATGGTTTCTAGTTTTCTTCAGACAAAACTAATGGAAGCATGGAATGGGAGGAGCAGGGGACAAGAATAGAGGATAAATAGTGACAGCAATAATTGATGTATTGGAATTTAATGTAGCTAGTCTGAGGTTTAAGTCATCCAACAGAATAGACCTGACAATAAAAGGTCTTATGGGTGGGTGGGTGTGTGCGCACATACTTTTTCTTGTGTGCTTATTTTTTTGGGAAGTATATGTCTTTATTCTCATTATCCTTTCCACTCTTCTATAGTTAATCACCTGCTTATTTTGATTTGTAACTGGACTAAGTAAAAACCAAGGTTATGCACTTACCTGAACCAAAAGATCCTCCTCTGTTTCTTAATGATGGTCTTCTCCTAAGAGAAAGAAGAATAGTTACAACTAAGGTTACAAAGGGACTGTATAGAAAGTATGGTAACCAAGAGTACAGAACATGGAGTCTATCCAGGTTTAAATCTTGGCTCTGTCAATTCCTAGCTGCTATGGTGGCATACATTGGGCATGTTGTAAGGAAGGACCAGTCCTTGGTGATGGACATCATGCTTAGAAGGGTGGAGGGACAACACAAGAGAGGAAGACCCTCAATGAAATGGATTGATTCAGTGACTGGGGTAATGAGGGTAGGTGTGTCAGAGACAATAAGGTTGGCACAGGATAGAGCTGGTTTCAGGGCTATTGTACAGAGAGTCTCTATGAGTCACAAGTGACTCAATGGCACATAACCACAGCAACAATGGTGTGGGACAAGTAGTTGACACTCTAGAGTTCTTACATGGGTTAAGAGATGGGAGTGATGTGAGAGCTGAGATAAGACCAGGGGCAAAAATAAGACCAGGAGAGGGAAGAGTATAGGAGAACCTGAATAGGCACAGGAAAGACTTACCATGTTGCTTTGAATGGTCTCCACCAAAATTGATCCAGGTTTCACAATTTGAGAGGAGTTATTTTGGGCTTTGAATCTGGATTTTAAAAAAAAATGTTAGAACCAAAGATTGTACAACATAGTTTAAGTAGCTGATGAAAAGTTCTTTTCTAAGTCTACCATCTATGATTTCTTTCCTAAATTTTTAAAAATATTTACCATGTTAAACACTCAAAATTAAAGATTGTTCAACATCTTTAAATTTAAAGTCATTCTCAAACAAAAAAGGTAAAGTTAGTGGAGGCCAATCTTGGTATAACCAAGACGCTAGATTAAAACTGCCAAATTTGGGTGACAGCTGAAATCTTATGCCAAATCTTAGTTCCTTAAGTAAGCTGTTTACAGACTTATCTGACTTTGCAGGGTTTGGGGATCACCTAATAAAAAAATACCTGGAAGAAAGCATAGCATCATTTTATTATCTAAGAAAAGCAATAACTAAATATGAAAGATTATCAATTTGATTAAGTTTACTTAAAATTTAAAATTTTTTAAAGATAAAAGAATAAAATCTAATCAATAGATTAGGCTGTAATACATATATCCATGTACCCTACAAAGAAAAAGTATGGAACTACTGCAAATAACTAAGAAAAAAGACCGACAATCTCTGGCAGAATAACAAGAATCTTCAAAGATGGAAAATAACTCCTGTCAATGTGAATGTAGATTAACCAAAGTGATTCATTGGAGGAGATATGGGTCTAGTCACTCCAGGAATCCCGTGTGACTTTTTGTAGTTAAGCTAACTAACATCAATTGTTAATAAAGGCAAGGGAAAACAAACTTTAACATTGATTTTTTTTTTCTTTTAGTCTGGGAAATAGAGCAGAAGCTGGTAGGAATGGCTTTCTGGTGGCCATTTGCAAGAGACGGAGTTTATCCTGAGAAGGCCTCCACCTTTCAAAGATATCCTGAGACTGTCACTTCTGTCCATAAGGTAATTTGAAACTTACACTTCTTTTTCAAGAAGCATCATCTCCTTTTCCTTTTCCATCTCTCTTAGAATTTCCTGGTATTTCTTTCCATGGAAATAAAAATATGTATTTAGCACAATTGAAAATTTCAATATATTACATTAAAATGGCATTGCTAATAATTTTCATAACAAATTTCTTATCTAAGACTAACTTTTTTTGAATAAAATTTTTATTCCATGTTGGTTTACTTACACAGTTTGTATTTTCATTGTTTTTTCACACCAGATCTTTCCAATTTCCTTCACCCACCCCTCCTTCTACCCATCAAATTGTACGATCCTTTGATTAACCCTCCAGTCCATCTTCACACCTCTATTCCTCCCACCTTGGATCCTCATGTATGTTTTACTAGTTTTCTATTTCTACAATAATGGCCTTATACAGTATTTGTCTTTATGGGACTGAGTTCACTTAGCATAGTGCTCTACAGTACCTCCCAATTTAAGTAGTGCTTTTCAAAATCATTATTCCTCCATGCTTCATAGTATTCCACCGTGTGAATGTACCGTAATTTCTCAATCCATTCTATTGTGGTTGGACATTTGGACTGTTTCCATGTTCTTGCGATAGTGAATAACATTGCTATGAACATTGGTGTACAAAGCTCCATTTGTGCCTCACTTCTAATTTTCTCAATGTATATTCCAAGCAGTGGAAAAGTTGGGTCATAATGGCATTTCTATGTTCAGCTTTTTGAGGACACACCAAACTGCCTTACAGAGTAGTTGTACCATTTTACAGTCCCACCAACAGTGTTTAAGAGTTCCTATCTCTCCACATCATCCCCAACATTTATTACTTATTGTCCTATAAAACCTTGCCACTGCTACTGGGGTGAGATGGTATCTCATTGTGGTTATGATTTGCCATCTCTCTTATTGCCAGTGATTTTGGAGCATTTCTTCATGTTAAAACTAACTTTTAGTATTTTAAAATGCATGTTGTGTGTTCACTCACACATGCATGAATATACATACAGATAAGGAGGTGCATTAATAGAAAATTGACTAGAAATGAATTACATGAAAAAATACGTCATTGCTCTGACTCTCCTTGTGCTCAAATCTTAACTCACCAACTATGTTCCCCACGACATGTTCCCCAACATATTTAAATATGTTTCTTACCATCATCCTCATAGAATTATTGGGAAAAGTGATTGAGAAAATGTACCATATATCATGTGTTTAGCACAGAACAGGAGTCACATATACTTCCTAAACAGCATACCTCTAGAAACTCTATGAACTTTGAGAAAAGACGGTAGTTATGGAAAGGCTTCAGGCCTTTTGTTCATAGGGTCGCTATGAGTTGTACTCAACTAGATGGAAATCAACAACAACAAGGCTTATGTTGCTGTTGTATAAAAGGTATTTTTGTCCCACTGGCATATTTTAATCTAATGAATAGCTAAAGAAGTACTTATCCAATCATGGTCTTAGCGAAAGTCTGTCTCCACTCTGGCTTTTCTCAAACAACATTGTACCTTTATGTAGTGGGCCTGGTCTTCACAGAGCTGATGAACAAACTGATAGTAGCTTTCTGTCTAGAAAAAAAACAATTCCATGCCTTGAATAAAATCACAAATGCATTGTTTCCACTCAAGGCTAAGTTGACTCCTAGGCTGCTTAACTGGGGCATTGGGCATTTGGTTGGTTTCCTAGCAACTTCTTACCTGAGGAGAAACTGTCACATCACAAAGCAGTGATCTCATCATTCAGTCTCAGGGTCTATACTTTTTTTTTTTTTTTTTTATGCGTGTACCGTCAAATTGGATCTGACTGGTACAGGAGGCGACTGTTCCTCCTTCTTCAGCAGAGCATCTGGTGGATTTGAACCGTGCACTTCTGGGATTGCAGTGCAGTTTCCTGCCACTAGGCCACCAGAGCTCGCCAGGGTCTATACTTTTTAAATTAAAGAAAATTGTTTACCCAAGTTGTCCATCAAAGGATGTTTCAGGGCACTTGGATTTGGGATTCAATATTCTTGAGGTTGTTGTCACTGTTGTATTGTTGTTGATTTTCATCAAGTCACTATTAGGTGGTATCAAGTCAACTTTGACTCACAGAAACCCAAAATGACAAAGTAGAACTGTATCATAGAATTTTCTTGACTCTCTTTTTTTGTAAGAAGATCTACAGGCCTTTTTTCCCCCCCACATGAAACCACTGAGTGAGTTTGAACTTCTAACTTTCCAGTTAGCATTTAAATTCTTAACTGTTGAGTCATCTAGGTTCCTTATAATTAAGGTAGGAGAGTGTTTAATAAATGGTAAAACTAGTATGTTTTTATTTTATTGTGATCTGAATAAAAGTTGACAGAGTATATTGGTTTTTCATTTCATTATATATAATAATATATATATAATATATGTAATATATGTTTTAAGTGTTTAGGACATTAATTGAAATACCTACAATGTAATCAAACTTCTCCCACTTCTTCCCATAATTCCTATTTCCATTAATTCTATCCCTTCCTACCTTGAGGCCTTTATCTAGAGACAAATGCTATTCTTTTGATACATACTAAAAGCAATGCTTTTAACATGAGTTTGCTTTTTCATCCCTTCACTTGCAGGTGAACCAGGGATTTGTTTGCCACACGTTCTTGCTGCCCTGTCCTGTCTCTCAGGTGCTTTAAGCTTTTCTTTCTTTGGTTTGCTCTCCTCTATATATCTTGAGTTGGACTCTCAGTAGAAGAGACCTTGCCTTTACCTTGATCAGTTTCTCCTCTTGTTTTTCACAGAGTTCTGTTGTTTTTTGTAGTCTCTCCTATGGATATATGAACAGAAAAAAGTTAGTAGCAATCTTTTATGGAAGGTAAATGGGCAATTTTTACCTTCCCTCCACTGAACAACAGAGAATATTCATTATGGGTAACACATATTGAAACCATATGATAATATAAACCTAGTTTTATTGTCACAATAGTCCTATGAAGTGGGCACTATTATTACCACCATTTTACATATGAGGAAACAAATGTTTGGAAAAAATAAGTCATTTTCTTAAAAATCTTACACGGTAGTAGAGCTGAGATTTAAGCCTCAGTAGACAGTGTAATTCTGTGTATTCTCTCCATCTTCTTTTGATGCTTTCACTGTATTTCCCATGGCAACTTTTGATATTGCAACTTGAGGTTTAAATTTGTTGTTCAGTTCTCTCAGCTTGATAAATGTAGAGAGAGTTCTTTCCTTTTTATTCTCCAGTTCCAGCTCTCAGAACATTCTATCACAATACTTTGCTTTGTCATCTCCAGCTGCCATTTGAAATCTTTTCAGCTCTTTTACTTTGGAACGTTTTTTCCTTTCTTTTGGCTTCTTGACACTCTTTTGCAATTTTGAGAATCTCTTCTGACATTCATTTTAGTTTTTCCTTCTCTATCTTTTGCTCTCTTCATGAACGATACACTTGATATCAACCCACAACTCATCTGGTCTTTTAAAATTTGTTTTCAATGCCTTAAACCTATTCCTAATATGATCTTGAAATTAGATGGAATAGATTCAAGATGTTCAATGCCTTAAACCTATTACTAATATGATCTTGAAATTCAGATGGAATACATTCACGATCGTATCTTGTTTCTTGTGGACTTATTTTCATATTCTCCAGCCTCAATTTAAACTTGAATATATGTAATTGATGGTCTGTCTCACAGTATGCCCCTGACCTAATTTTGATTGCCAGCATTGAGCTTCTCCAATGATTTCTTCCACACATATGTTGTTGTTGTTGTTGTGTGCCGTCGAGTCACCTGCAACTCATAGCGACCCTATGTACAACAGCCCTAAACTCCGCTCTGTCCTGTGCCAATCGCACTGTCTCTGACACTCCCAT